GTCTCCATTGGATCACCACAGACCTGACTGGTTTTGTCAAGTGTCTCTCCTTAAGGCCAGTTGAATCCAAGGAAAATTCTGCTTACCTCACTTCTCCCACCAGATATTTTAAACCTTGCACTCATTTTATCATCCTAGAAAGGGTGAAAGGGTGAGTTACAGTATATTCAAACCAAGAAACTTCCAGCTCAACTTCGTTACCTGGGTTATGTAATATGATCAATTTGGTAGAATTGGACTGTCTTCAGTACCAGCTGAACAAACAAAGCAGGGAGCAGGTCAATTCCCATCTCAAAAAGAAGACATGGAGAAAAAAAGGTTGTGCTGAAGAGATCAAAGAGTTCCATGTAAAAAAAATCATCATCATCATCAAAGGTACACGATCCCTGAGGGAGGGTTCGGGGGACTGTGAATTGATATGGACCAAGCTCATCCGGAGACATTGTCATTTTTATGAATTTCTAAATGAAATTTACATTAGTCAGTGACCTGGTCCGTAAGAAGATTACAATTGGTTTGATGTTTTCGTGAATAGGCCTGAACTCATTGCGTTCGGACCTCAATTTCTTGTTAATCAATCATTGGTTTCTGGGAATCTAACTGGAGTGACACTGTAATTTTCAAGACCGAGTTGTACCCTACTTTTTAAATAAAAATGTTATCTCCATTTTTCCAAATTGTGTTTACTATTTTCGTTACTAAGATTAAGGTAATTCATATTTTGAAGGGGAGAATAAGAAGTATAAAGAAAAGTATTATTAATGGGACCAAAACGTTGAAGTCCTCAGTTCTACAAAATATGTATAACTAGGTGTCTTCCATGATGTATATAGAGTTTTAATATGCTTGTATCATTAGAAAGCTAAAAAACAGCCTACAAATATTTTGTAACTCCAAAATAAAATGACAAAAAGAACACAGGACAATATAAAAATCTTTATAAATATAGATGTCTTTATTTGTGAATTGTAAATTTTAAACAGTGCTTAACGTCTTCACTATTACAATATGTAGCATAAAACATCCTAAACTATTAAAAATGGATAAAAGACCATTTTTAGCACTGATAGCACTGGTTCTCAAGTCTTGTGAAACCCAACCAATGAAATTGTTGAAGTCATGCACTCAGATTTTAATGGATGGAGAGAAACATTCCCTGCATATTCCGGGAATTTAAGAGACATAATTCCACGTCATGGATATTTTTGTTAAAATAAATTCACAAACAGAATGGGGATTTGGCTAAACATGAACACACTTCAAATTTTTTTTAAAAAACTTTCTTCCAACAATACGTTCAAAGAGTTACAGCCAATATCTCTGCCTTCATGACATACTCCGACATTTGTTCATGCTGTTAATTAATATAATCACGAACACCTGTTTAGATATTCTACATCTAACCACCGTTATCAATCATAATCCATTTTATATTTAAATATACAGTAAATGATATGACAATAATAATCTTGCTTCTACATAATAATGTCAATACATTTAAACAGGTTGTAAAGCAAACTAAGCTGGAAGATTTTCAACCAAAACTGTGAACTGAAATTAATATAATTAAAAAACACTCAATGCTCTAATATTAATTGAAATGCAACATGGAGTTTTTGATTGAGTCACATAACAGCCCACCAAAATGTATTTTTGTAAATACTGTTAAGAGTATATACATGAATCTTACACCCACAAATAGACATAAGCCAAAAATATTACAAGAACATAAGAATTTGCGAGGCGAAAGAAGACCAAGGTCCACCTAGTCGCCTTCCACTAACCTGGAAGTCGCTTGACATGTTGTGTCCCAAACTATATACAATAACTTGTATTTATTTAGTGCCCTTCATGTTAGGTAGCGTCTTGGAGCACTTAAACTGTATCCCAAGATATTATTTTCCAGCAGAAATCTATCTAATTTGTTCTTGAAACAAACGACATTTCTGCTTCCATTATTATTATTATTATTATTATCGTATATATAATAATAACTTTTTACATTTTGATAATTGGATTTGTTCCAAAACCTGAAATAAATGACTGGATCTGAAAAGATCAAAGAATCGCAGATTTGATCAAAGAACTAGAGTAAATACAGCTAATCCAAGAAGAGTTTTCACTATTCTTGATGAGTCGTTCATTTAATCCATTGATCTTTTATAGCCAAAATGCATTTACAAAATGTTTGTGGAACTAATCTTTGACAATGAATCAGTGCGATAAAGTTAGGATAAAATTAAATAAATGTCAGACAAGTTAAGATGAAGTATATTTAGCATGATGGATATCCTATAGTGATTACAAGGTAGTAATCCCATTAACAGGTTTAGATGATGTCATAACCACAAGAGTGGAGCTCAAGCATTTGACAACCGTCATTTGAACCCCGCAACAAGATTACAACCTTGAAGTCATTTCCATGCATCTATTAGTTTAAAGTTGAATTTCACAAGATAAAGGGGTGCCTTAGTTCTATTTTTTTCGTCACAGTGGATATTACAGCAGATAGCAAGGCCCATAGCATTTCACATAGTTTGATGATGGTTACACTGTTGTGATAATACCACTACCAGTTTATTGAGTGATAACCAAAAATTAATCACTGCAATATATGCTTAATGGACTTGTTCATTTAAGGTTTTGATGGAAAAATATCATCAAGCTCACATTTTTCTACTTAAATACTGTTTACTGAAATGTAGCTGTTAATTTATGTTTCATTCATTTCAATGGCACATTTAAATTTTCAACATAATTTACAAATATTTAATCATTAAATGCCTTCTGCTAAACCCATCTTCTCAATTTAAATCTCATAAATTGCAAACATTAATTATTTTCTTAATACCAACAATTTCCTGTGTTGACATTCAGTGCATAACTGGAGAATTGCAATGTTGGAGGTGCCATCCCTCAGATCATACATTAAACTGTACCAGCCTGTTCAGGTGGATGCTAAAGAACTCACTGCACTATTCAAAAAGAGGGATTCTTCTTGTGTCCTGGGCAATAATCCTTCAAAGAAAGTGGTCACTCACTTCCTGGCTGTTTGTAGAACCTTTTGTATGCAAACTGTCTGTTGTATTTGCTTAAACATACACAATCACTGCTTTGGATAGCAGTTACCTGTACAGCACTTTGAGAAACTGGGATTTTACCAGCACTATATCAAATGCAATGGTTATTGTTTGGATAATTATTATTGCCTTAGGGAATAAGGGGAAAATCTACTCAACCCTAGAAAAGCTTTGACCACGGACTTTTGTACTTTTCCTGAAGATTTGATCTTTTGGATACTTTTAGTTAGAGTAATGCAGGTTCATATCCTTTATATAGTGGTTTGTATGGCTATCTGTAATGAGTATGTGGACCACTTGGGGCTAATTAATATCCTATAGCCAGTAGGGGCTACTTGTAATCGATAGGCAGCTCATTGAGATAAAGGCATTCTTTCTGTCTAATAGTGTCTACTATAGCTGTGATTTGAGGTCAGATTTGGGTTTTAAAAATATGAACTGGTTCCACCCTTACCCTTCTGCACCAGTCAGTGGTATTAACTGTACCTATAATTTGTCATTTCTCTAGTTAGGATGTCCAGTTACTAATTTTGACATGTAACTGAGAGGTAGGAACCCTGAAAGAAGCATTGAATATCAAAGTCTATGTACTTAGATTGTCTGCAAAAGAGCAATATGTGAACTGTTTCCCAAGGAAGCCATTTTTTCACCCATCACTACACAAACATACCCACAAACAGATCCATCTCCAGCTAAACCACACATGTACAAATTATATAGGAAGTAGAAGAGACATCCTTAAAGAGTTGTTTTCAATCCCAACAAAAATATGGATGACAACTCATTCCATTAAACCCTTAGTTAGTTCAAAATGTAGTGTTGTAGTACCAAACTTGGACAATTCATAAAAGTTATGAAAAATATTGTAACTGTCTCTTTGACCTTTAGTTTTCTATTATGTGCTGTAAATTATATGTAATTATCTATTTTCTGACTGACAAACAGGAAACAGAAGTCATAATTTGGGAAGAGATTTAGGCTGTTACTGCAGTACCCAAAACCACAACTCTTTAATCAAACTATACAAGCTGTTATTTCAAAATTATAAAGAACTCTGAAAACGTAAAATCACTACTGTACAACAAAATATTCTTCCAAACAGAATTTTGGTTATTGTTCTTAAGAAAAGCAAAATTACAGTTTCATCATTCCAGAGTTACCAATAATAATGCAAAAAGATTTTTAAAAATGTAGTAATTAAGATTTCAATAGGTACTGTATTTACAAAGTTGATTAATTATTTTTTGTAAATCAAGTATGTCTTTAGAGATGTGTTTTTGATTCCTGAAAGAGTCTCTAATCACTTTGTGATGGAATTTATTCCAAATTATAACTTAATAGTTGTTTGCATTTAAATATGAATCCTTAAAATACTGTAAGTATTGGTAACACTATAATATTGTATACTGTAAATGCTTCCAGTACTGTGTAATGTAACAATGATGTTCAAATGCTAGGAAACCTCAATAACAAAGTTTATCCTCAAAAGTCAAAATAGGATGTTGACATGTTGGGAGTACATCTTTAAATAAAAACACATAAAATAAATATCAATGTAGCAAAAACACTATTCTCATTGATCAACTTATAAAGTTTATATTGCAACAGAATGTTTATTTACATTTGTTTATGCTTATTTACATTTGTTTATGTTTATTTACATTTGTTTACCAAAGCTATACTGTATTTTCAAAACAAATTATACCATGAAGGAAATAGACAAATATGGGGTCACAAATCCACTGCAGCAGCTGTTTTTGGTGACCTATAAATAACATACATTTTAGTTTTAGAGGGATGCTAATAATTTTTTTCAAGGCTGTAGGTTAGCTATTCACACAATACTGCAGACTTGTTAAAACAAAAATTATAATTTGATAACTTGCTTATATTGAACATAAATTAACGGAACAGCCTTACCTCTTCTTCTGTGATAAAACCAACTTTTGAAAGGATATCTTGGAACTGTTTTCGGTTTCTATCTAAAAATAAGATATTAAAAAAATGTTTATTTTATTAAAAAGCTTTCATTGCCAGGAGGATATATGGCAAAGATATTATTTATTGGTTTAATGATAACTAAGGTACTGATAGAACAGTTCAGCCTAGACTGTTTTATTTTTTAACCATCATGCATCCTCCTTTAGCCAGGCTAGGATGGTCTGGACCTTGGTCCATGTTCATCAAAGCGATTATCCTACAGGAGGTGCGAGCCAAGTATGTCAGTCTTAACGCCCACCCCAGCCCCGTCCAAGATGGAGTATCTTGCCATAGCACGGGGCTCCATCTACTGTAGCAGTCCCGCCAAGAAATGATGAAGTTCACTCCAAACAGTGGCAGGCAAACTTGACTGGCAGACACAACTGGCACTCCAACCTACGACTATCTGTTTGTGAGGCAAATACTTTACCACCTGTGCTAGCAGGAACCCTAATAACTATACATCGTTGTTTACAGAATTCCAAGATTTTAAAGGTGCAATTGAACAAGTATAAACATGAGATTAAAAACATTATGATTTCTAGAGGGAAACATCATTTCATTAAAATGTTATCAATGTTGATATCAATGGATGTTTAAAGTGTTACTGATATGCGCCTATAATCTAAGCAGAGAGACTGGAAATAAAGGCATGATGTTACTTAGAGAATACATTTCAGTGGGAAAAGAAAAGGCTTCCATTTCTGTTAACTCTTACCTTTAGGCAAAGATGAAATTGAAACAGTAGTCACACCAATATCCACTTCTAACTAGAAAACATCCTTATTATTTGAGTGTTGCAACAATTGTTGCTCATTTTACAATTTGGGACAGATTTATTTTTTAAAAATACACCCTGGCTATACAAAACAAATCACAACCATTGACAACAGACTTTTTTTCATTTTTAAAGTTATTTTTCCCAATCCATTATCCAGGACTAAAACAACCTGAGAATCAAAGTGACTGCGTCCAAACAATTATAGCGATCCACAAGACTAAAAGAATACTAAAAAATTTAATTTGAATGTGTAGCTTGTACATTAATTTGTTCAGTGATTTTCTATGTGATGTGGAAATTTTGATTTTCTTAAATAGGTAATCTAAACGTTACTACATAATGACTGCAGTATTATACTGAGTTATATAATTATCTTTAAAAGATAATAAATCTCAATAACATTATCTAAAGATAATATGAGAGATTATATAATATATTTTATTAAAAAAACATATTGTGCCAAAATAATTTGTCCCAGCTCATCAATGTGTAAAGTTAGTGTTAAAGTTTTGGAAGAATACACATATTGCTGATTAATGCCAATCATATCTATCCATTTTGTCATGTTTGTCTTGCAAAAATTAATTCACTAGAAACTGTGTGACTCATTGCAAATCTGCATTATTTTACATAAATTTAAGCTTTGTATAATGGTAGGAGCAGACATTTTTGCATCACAGGTTTTCTAATTGAACAGTTAAATGCAACTCTCAATGCCCAAAGCACAAATGGATCTATACTATAACAGAGTTCATATAATTCATAGTTTTAATATTTAAAAATATTAAATACTCAAAGTAAATATTTAACAGATGAAGTAGCAATAGCTAATTATTGATACACCTCAGTACAAGTTTCAGATTTAGAAAATACAAATATTAATATAGCTCTTACATTGCCAATATACAAATTAATATGCAACTATAATGCTACAGTATTTATTTTGGATATTTCTAAATATTCAACTGATTATTAGCAAAATATGCAACACCATGATGTCCACCAAATACTTTGCATTTCTATTGCAACGGTAATAAAACTAGGTTTGTTCTGTTTGACAAGTTCTGCTGTGAGTATTTGCCTGAAAAATAAAAATTGCAGACACGGATATAGCAGAATTGAACTACAGTAATTCAATACACCCGTTGACCAACTTTATACAGACGTGTTGCGTTCTCTGGAATTACGATTTTTTTGAAAAAAATTCTTTTTTTTAAAAAAAAAGTCGAAACAGAAATGTGACTCGACAGCAATCAAAACCACTGCGTAAAGAACGAGAGAAGTCTGTCGATGCCGAATAATGAAAGTGGTGCTGAAGAGGGTCGGTCGGTCGGTCGGCTTCACGCTTGAAGCCAACATGTGGCCCCCCAAATCAGCTTCGTATCAAGGGTTACAAAACAAGGAGCAAGTTTCCGCTGGCGGCCCTGAAGCCCGAGCGAAACCAGCAGCAGTTTTCGCAGTTACTTTTGCGTCCAAACAAAATCACAGACAGACAGCTTCAATATAATCCGTCTCTCTCTCTCTCTCTCTCTCTGTGTCTTGTCTGTTCTTGTTTATATATACTGTATATACTGTGTGTGTGTGTGTATATATGTGTGTACCCACACACGCACAGGTATGTTTCACGCTGTTCTTTCTCATTGCGTCTGAAATAAAAATAAATAAAATGAAAATGCAAAAAAGCGGAGAGAACTCCCGTTGGCGCGCGGCTGCAACCCTCCCGAATTCGGAATAAAGAGAGAGAGAGAGAGAGAGAGTAAAATGAACGATTGATTGATTGATTGATTAATTAATTCAGTGTCCGTTTGCCTTCCCTGGTCTCACAGCCTAACTTGTGGTTGCGGGCGCTGGTTTGGTGTGCTGATGTTGTTCTCGAAGAAGAAGAAGAAGAAGAAGAAAAGAAGGTAATAAAAATAAAAGGAACACAAAAAACGGGACGAGTTCGAAGCCTCCGGGTTAAGCCCAGGGATTATGATTTTTTTTAAGAAAAAATAAACCAACAAACAAACAAACCCCTAAACGACGCGACGACAGCGGCAGTCACCCACTTCACTGACTGACTTACCCCTGGCGTCTGGCGCGGCCTGGAACAGAACCGTCTCAAACATGTTGACCAGCTCTGCATATTTTATCTTGCCCCCTCTGTCGTGGAGCAGAGCGAGAATAAAATCCACCTTCAGCTCCTGCGATGCCGCCGAGGTCATCCTCCTCCTCCTTTCCTTTCCTTTGCCGCGTCTCCTCCTACTCCTCTACCCGCCGCCGCCTCCCCTCCACCACCACCACCACCAGCTCACGCCGCACTTCCGGTCGCCAGCCCCGTTACCCTGACAACGACGCAGCCCGCGGCAGCTCGCTCCGTCACCGCGTTACCATATGCAAATGAGGCAGCCGGACCCCTCGCCAATCCACGGTGACAAAGAGGGAGAGGGGAAGGGGTGGGGGGGAAATGGTGGGCGGCGCGCTGCACCTCGGGACGTGGAGTTCTTCGCTTGCGTTGAACACCCCCCCCCGACCACCGCCAGGTTCGAGGGCGGGAGGGGAGCAGAGACTACATCTCCCAGGGTGCCCGGCGCCACCGCCCTCCTGCCGCCGTCCATTACGCCCAGGCTGTCCAGGCAACGGCGTGTATGGCCGGTGATCGGCGGTGTGCGCTCGGGGCAGTTGCAGCACCTTCTCGGAGGACGCGCCGCAGCAGCGGCTTCCAGCTCAGCCTGCGAGAGGGAGAGAAAGAAAAAGTTTATATCAGAAAATACTTCAAGGCATTTGCGTTCATCTGCCTAACATCAAGCGCGAGGGAGAGGGCGGCGGCGGCGGTGGTGGGGTGGGGGGGTGTTAATACTTAAGGTGGTATCGATATGGGTCGATTGGTGAGGTAAACCTTTACCGCTAAAACCGATAAATGCTGTGAAAAGCATCTAAACTGCGTGTGTGTGTGTGTGTGTGTGGGGGGAACTCGAGGGTATTATGATTTTTTTAAAAAAAAACAACCGCTCTTTTCGTTTCTCTTGTGTTTTGTGGCGATTTAAGGTTTGGGATCCGTCAGTCATTCAAAAGGCATTTTTGTCCTATAAAACACCATAAGTAGTGTCTCTTTGGCCTGTGTGTGTGTGGGGGGGGGGGGGGTGCAGTGTGGGGGGGTGTTGGGGGGGTGCAGTGTGGGGTGTGTGTTGGGGGGTGCAGGGTGGGGTGTGTGTTGGGGGGTGCAGTGTGGGGTGTGTGTTGGGGGGTGCAGTGTTTGGGGGGTGCAGTGTGGGGGGGGTGTTGGGGGGTGCAGTGTTTGGGGGGTGCAGTGTGGGGGGTGTGTTGGGGGGGTGCAGTGTGGGGTGTGTGTTGGGGGGGTGCAGTGTGGGGTGTGTGTTGGGGGGGTGCAGTGTGGGGGGTGCAGTGTGGGGTGGTGTGGGGGGTGCAGTGTGGGGTGTGTGTTGGGGGGTGCAGTGTGGGGGTGGTGGGGGGTGCAGTGTGGGGTGTGTGTTGGGGGGTGCAGGGTGGGGTGTGTTGGGGGGTGCAGGGTGGGGTGTGTTGGGGGGGTGCAGTGTGGGGGTGTGTTGGGGGGGTGCAGTGTGGGGTGTGTTGGGGGGTGCAGTGTGGGGGGTGTGTTGGGGGGGTGCAGTGTGGGGGGTGTGTTGGGGGTGTGTGTGGGGGTGTGTTGGGGGTGCAGTGTGGGGGGTGTGTTGGGGGGGTGCAGTGTGGGGGTGTGTTGGGGGGGTGCAGTGTGGGGGTGTGGGGGTGTGTGTTGGGGGGGTGCAGTGTGGGGTGTGTGTTGGGGGGTGCAGTGTGGGGTGTGTTGGGGGGTGCAGTGTGGGGGTGTGTTGGGGGGTGCAGTGTGGGGGTGTGTTGGGGTGCAGTGTGGGGGTGTGTTGGGGGGGTGCAGTGTGGGGGTGTGTTGGGGGGGTGCAGTGTGGGGGGTGTGTTGGGGGGGTGCAGTGTGGGGTGTGTGTTGGGGGGGTGCAGTGTGGGGTGTGTGTTGGGGGGGTGCAGTGTGGGGTGTGTGTTGGGGGGGGTGTAGTGTGGGGGGGTGCAGTGTGGGGTGTGTGTGTTTGGGGGTGTGCAGTGTGGGGGTGGGTACAGTGGGGTGTGTGTAGTGTGTGGGGGGTGCAGTGTGGGGTGTAGTGGGTGGTTTGTGTGTGTGTTCTGGTGACTTCCACAACGATGCTGGTTATATAAGTCTTAAAAAGGTTATTAAGAGCAGCAGAATGTATTTATAAATACACAGATATATATATATATGTACCTATATTTCGGCTGTGTGCAAATGTTTTTTTATCTTGAAACAGCTTTATTTAATGGGCGCGTATTTTTTTTGGGTGGGAGGGGATATTTTGCATTATTTTTATAGATATATATGTATATATATATGTGTGTGTATTGCATGTTTTGCCTATGCTTTAAATGTGTGTTTGGGTTTTTGAATAACAGTGGTCATTCTTCTGCGTAAATTTAGTTTTAGTTCCAAGAGATGATTTCTGAAAGCTGTAGAATTTAAGCCTTTAATCCACACACGTACACACACACCCTCCCCCCCAAAAAAGTAATTGAAAGTAACAAAAACGGATTATGTACAGATGAGAGCAAGAACAAACATCTCAATCAACCATTAACATAGAATAATATTATGAGAGCATTTGTGTTGTATTGTATTAGAATAGGAGCTTTATTATATTTATGAGACTGAACACAACATCCAATGTGCAGATTAATTTCGCAGGGCAAAAAGACTTTGAAAACTATCGATTTATGAGATTGTCTACCGAGATATGGGCCTGAGCAGAATAGCTGCTATAAGCAGACAAAGAGAATTAAATAAGTCAGGATATGTTCGTGTTGGGAAATATATCTGGTGGAATCAAAGGAGATTACATCCGTTGATCGGCAGGGATTTATCCCAGTTCATATGGTTTTAATCTGCTTTCGCTTCTACCCTTTTATGAGTTTTAAAGAAGGGATACCTGGTTCGTTTATTCGCTTATATCCACCAGTAAACACTCATTTTGAGCTTAGAGTTCAAGACAGCGATTGAGGTGGTACTAATATGTACCGGAGCTTAAAACGACACTCCTCTTTACAGATTGGAATTCTTCCAAAAATCTGATATGATTCAAGAAATATAAAACAAACTACTGCATTGTTATGTGCTGCTGAAATATTCTTTCATTTTCCATAGAGCAATAGTGCTTCCAGTGTACTTCACATGTAATTATTTGCAGACCAACCCTAACGCTATTTGCTTGAATTTATGTCAAGTTATATATTCATACCTCTAAATTACGGAAGCAAATTATTGTTTGAGCAAATCACATTGTATAGAAAGATTATAAAGCTTTGTGATTAAAATTAGATTTGGGTAGATGGCAGTTCAAATAGTTGTAGTTTATATTTTAAATTCAAGTTAGTTTAAAACACAGATTACTTGCAAGTGTCTTCATTTTATGACCTGTACACTCAAAAGTTTTAGATGTTGTAGATTTGTCTAAAGATTACCAATCAGTTAACATTTTAAAATTTATCTCTGTCCTTAACCCAATAGGGAGTAAGATATTGAATGAAGACCCTCCTCAAGATTGCAATAAACTGGATATGGAACAGCAGATGTATCGTCTTTGAACAATGTGTTGTGTTTATTAAAAAATTTAAATAAAATAAGCTGTATTTTAAACAAAGTCCAGGAAGTTACTGTACTTTAAATATCCTGTACAAGGGCATTGCCGCTTCTTATTTCTCACTGTGTGTCTGTCTATCATTTTAAAATTTCTTCAGTTCAGTGCCTTCAAATATTACATTTTGATGCAGTATCAGGTAAGTAGAATGAAGATTTAGCAATGTGGTTTGAAATCAACGCAAAAAAAAGCTTGAAATTTACTTTCACACAACACTTAAAGCAAATTTTCAGTTTTCATTTAACTTACATGGAATTTTAAATATCAATCTGAAATTCCAAAAGTTAATTCCTAAAATATATATATATAGATTATGTCCAGTACTAATGTATTATCATGTAAATTGGACTGTAATACCGATGTTGTAACACTTCATTATTAAAAATGTGTATAGCTATATAGAACCCATATCTACTTCAGTATTCTCTGATTCATGATATCTGCCTTTCCACACAAGCTTGCATCACTCATGACGAAATGGTAACCTAATAAGTCTTCACCTCCACCAAGAAGCTCTCTTATAATAGACACTAAAAATACTAAATTTCAAAAAGCACCAACTAACTCTTTGACTGTGACAACCATGGCCGTCAAAACCTTCAAACACCAAGAGGCTGCAACAAAAGCAAAGTCTCAGAACTCACAGATGTTGTCAACAGCTGCACTACAACTGTGCAGCAGCTGGGTGAAAGGACTACAGTGAATTTCTCTTTAAGTACAAGTTAATTTTCCAAAACTATGTTTGCTCTGAACAGGAATTACTCTCAGCTGAAGTGTGTGGATCAGTTAAAACTACATATTGTTGCAGTGTGTTGCCCTTAAAACAAAAAAGAATTAAATAATGTAGGGTTGTAAAATAGAAAGAAAACAAAGTGTTCTTTAAACAGCTGAGTTGCACACTTGACACACAAAATGCAATAGCTTAAGGTGTACCACAGCTAAAGAAAACAAATCATGCTTTCATTTCCTTCAATGAGAGGAACGTGTATTCGTCTTATTAGTTTCTTTGGTTAAGAGTAGATTACGTGTATCTATGGCAGAACAGGCTCGGCAGGTTGAATGGCCTACTCTTGTTCCTATGTACTTATTTTAGTATAACCTTCCTGTTGTCGACAAATTAACCTCAGTGGACAATGGACGTCAGTGTCACATTAACAAGCCACAGATACTGTTCCCTAATAATGCCACAAAGTATAGGTTATAATAGCTACTGAGAGCATGGTGTCCACAGAATTGCTTATAATCCACTACATACTTATTAATGGCTGCAGGCCTACTGTGAATCTATGGTTCTTCTCTGTGTCCAGCATTCCAGTAATGCGGATGCTTGCTGAGATTCACTGGAAAGGCTTGAGGATTCCCCCCACACCAATTAGTTCAGCTTCAAACATCCAAAGTAAGAAGTATGCCATTGAAAACCTGATATAAAGTGTGGTGTCAGTTCCCAAGGGTATAATAAATCCAACATTAACCGCAGTTTTAAGGTAAGATATTGCTCATCAGGTTACAGAAATTACTTGCAATGTCCTCAGCCTTCAGTTTCAGGCATAACAGATGTTCAGTCATTTGTGTAACCCTAGAATCAATACTTTAATGCTGTAGCCCTCAAGTACAAGTAACATTTGTAGAATAGATTTGTACCAAAGACAAGATTTGGGGTTAATATGGACTTCAGGTTCACATTGCCTTCTGAGGAGCATAAATTCCGAAACTCTGAAACTCAAATATTAAAGCAAGCTCGCAAGTCAAAATCATTGTCGTTTTTACTCATGGAACTCAGCAAGGTGAAATGGCTCTATAAATTTATAGAATTACTTATATAATGATTTTTCATATACTAAAGAGACTAGGCAATTAAATATTAGCCATATGCATCCTCAACATAAACCTGTCTCAGCCTTATCTCCTCTCTAATATTCTACCACGATTGCCCTGTCTTATTAATATCTAAATAAATGTTCGACTCTGACCAAATTTACTTAGCGAGAAAATGAGTCCGTATTAACATAACATAGGTATGCAAGGGGAGAACAATTTATTCCAGTCGTCAAGGATTGTAGTTGCCGTTTTATTTTGGAGTTAAATTTAAGTTGAAAACAGTAATCCATTCCAACACTTTATGCAAACATAGCTTGTACCTTTTGTTAACAATAACCTGGGTTATATTGCTTATGATGTTACTTATTAAAGACTGGTATTCTTTAATAAGCGAGCAATACTGAAAAAGGAGTGTTTCATACTTTATGGCTTTTTCAATCAAGCATATGTTATAATTACATAGCAACAGTACATATAATATACATATAACAATTATATCATCAACTGCAAAATCAACTGCAAATCATTTCTCAATATTTTTTTCAGTAATGACAAAACAGTTGTTAATCCTTCAGTGTGAACCTCATTATCCGTCAGTGATATGGACTGCACTGGCAGCTGCTGGCAGAACAAAAACAGACCTGAAATTGAATCAAATCACCATCAAATTAACCGTATATGCTGCTAACAGCATATAAAAATAATACCCTGGAGTGATTTCCAGGCAATAACATGATCTCTGGGTTCAGGAGACTGCTTAGTGGCATTTTATGACTTTAGCTGCACCCCGAGATTAAGTAATCCGAGATCCACATTGTCATTATAATACCTGGAAATATTACGATAAACAAACTTCCCGATTTAAACATCTACGTGTAACAGATATATATATATATATATATGTGTGTGTGTGTGTGTGTGTGTGTGTGTGTGTGCATACACCTGTAACGCCGAACAATAACCATTCTTCGTATGAAATCTGAAATGATTGCAAAGATTAATCAAAAAAAAAAGAAAGACTGCTTCCAGTGCGTCCGGGCTTGTATTTCGAGTACACTCATCATCTGTCCCTGGTTGTTGTTGTGCTATGATTTCGGTCGGGGCTCCTGTCACGTACGGTACTGTATTAGCAAACTAAGTTAAGTTGCTGGAGCCTGGTAGAAGATTGCCATCCAGGGGCCGGCGCACTTGAGCCTTGGAATGAGGCTCTCTTTTTTTCCCAGAGAGAGAGAGAGAGAGAGAAAGAGAGAGAGAGAGAGAGAGAGAGAGAGAAAGCCTCTCATTAGGTTGGTTCTGGCACCCCATCAGGCAGCTTTGCCTTTCTTCCATTGACAACACCCTGATAGGAGGAGCTGCGAGTGCGTAGAAGGCGTCAGAAAACCCTCAATTTCTAACTTGCATCTTGCAGGACCTTCTCTGAGCCCCAATCCAAAGGAAAACTTCTGCAAGCAAGTAAACACCGACTGGGAGAGAGAGAGAGAGAGAGAGAGAGAGAGTCAGCCCCAGCAGCTGACAGCACAGACCCAGGCGATCTGCCGCTGCTCTCTATGACTACCGATCACACCATTCGCATAAAAAGCTTCGGAAATATAGGCTGTTGATATTTTTTTTTTCTTTTTTTTTATATTATATATTATAGACACCTAAAGAGAAAGAGAGAGAGGAGAGAAATCTTAAGCCATGTCGTATCCTCAGGGCTACTTATATCAACCTTCAGCTTCTTTGGCTCTTTATTCGTGTCCAGCCTACACTACGAGCGTCATATCGGGACCCAGGACGGATGAACTTGGGAGATCTTCCTCGGGCTCTGCTTTCAGCCCTTACGCCGGATCTACAGCCTTCACAGCCGCCTCCCCGGGTTACAACAGCCACCTCCAGTACGGTACAGACCCGACCGCTGCCTTCACTTCCTACGTGGTAAGTTCTGCTTTTCTTTCAAGACGCACCATTTACAATGTATTCGTAACTCTTCCTATGACACGTTGGTGCCTTTTTCCACCCCCACCCCCCCCCATCCCCATCCCCCCCCCCCCCACCCCGCACCCCACACAACCACCGCACCCACCCCATCCCCAGTGATCTTTCACCAGATCGTCTCCCTCTCTCTCTCTCTCTATCTCTCTTTTTTCCCCCCCAAAAAAACTTTTTTGTTGTTAGTTCTGGTGTTTTATTTCAATACGATTTGTTGTTTCGCGTTGAGATCAACTTTTGGTCACATTGCGCGCGTGTGTGTATGTGTGTGTGTGTGTGTTTTAAGAAAAAATATATAATCATTGGGTTGGGGGTTTGGAGGGGGTGGTGGGGGGGTGGGGGGGTGGTGGTGTGGTGGAGAGAAACCCTGACTGAGAGCATCGCATTCGGTTATTCCTCGTGTTTTCTAAGTGCTCATTCCACTGACTCGTAGGCAACATTTTTTACAGCTGAACGGCGTTATCTTTGCCGACCAGTGAGTGGTTGTGTGTGTGTGTGTGTGTGTTTTTTTTTTGACGGGTGTGTGTGTGTGTGTTGTGTCTCAGGGCTCTCCCTACGATCACTCCACGGGAATGGCCGGATCTATCGGATACCACCCCTACACAGCTCCTTTGGGCTCTTACCCCTATGGCGATCCAGCCTACCGAAAAAATGCCACCAGAGACGCGACTGCCACTCTCAAAGCCTGGCTCAACGAGCACAGGAAGAACCCCTACCCCACCAAAGGCGAGAAGATCATGTTGGCCATCATCACCAAAATGACCCTGACTCAAGTGTCCACCTGGTTCGCCAACGCCAGGAGGAGGTTGAAGAAGGAGAACAAGATGACCTGGACCCCGAGGAACAGGAGCGAAGACGAGGAGGAAGAGGAGAACATCGACCTGGAGAAGAACGACGACGACGAGCCGCACAAATCGTTGGAGAAGGGCCACTCGTCGGAAGCCGAGTCAGGTGAGAGGGAGACCCGATGAATATTTTATTTTTTTATTCAAGAGTCGTTTCCGATAAAAAAGGACGCGGATCTGATCACTGGTTTCTTGCGACGGCTTTATTATTTGTAGTGCACCCTATGTGCCGGATAATACTCAGCGATTTTCGTTTCGGACTCTTAATTCTTGTCGCGCCAACACGTGTCTGAACACCTAAAATAGGTTTGTAGGGGGTGTGGAGGGGGGTGTGGGGGTGGGGGGGGGGGGGGGGAGGGGGGGTGGGGTGTGGGGTGGGAGGGGTGAGGGTGAGGGTGTGGAGGGGGTATATTCCTGTTTAAAAAAAAATCCATCGCGCTTTTTTCAGTTGGGGTTGGAGTCAAAAGTGCTCGAATTTCTGCCGAATGAAGACATCTAAAACTAACCCGTAATTTCCGAGTTGAATTTTCAACGGATAGTGGCGTGAAACTAAATGGTTGTCTTTTATTGTTATTTCTCCCACCCCTCCTCCCCCCCCACCCCTCCTCCCCCCACACACACACCCCACCCCCCCCTCTCCCCCCCCCCCCCCCCCACTCTCCCCTTCCCCCGCACACCCCCTACCAACGGATTTTGGGTGTGGGGGGCGAAAAAAAAACCCAACCCCAGGAGATCAGAAGAGCCACCTGGTCGAAACTCCTTGCGAAAGATTCGAAGATGAAGACGATCCGAGTGGCAAAGAGAGTGAAAACATCACGAGCGATTCGGAGTTAAAACACCCCGAAGAAAGGGAGACCTCACGCTCGCCCAAAGCCACCACTTCTGCTTCTTCTTCTTCTTCTTCTTCTGCTTCCAGTTCTACTTCGACTTCTTCTTCATCTTCTTCTACTTCGTCCTCCACCACCACCTCCTCCACCGTCTCCTCCACCATCTCCTCCTCCTCCTCCTCCTCCTCGCTGCTGCTGCTGGTGCCTCACGGAGCTGAGCTCTCGCAGGAGAGCCACGACCCCCGAGTGGAAAACGCACATACAAAGCCGAGTCGCTCCCTGACTCACGGCACCGGCTCCGGCCACGCGACCTCGGTCATCCATTCCACCCCGACGGCGGCAACGGGGCCAACGGGGCCAACGGGGACGGTCGCCTCCAAGCCCAAGCTCTGGTCACTGGCCGAGATCGCCACCTCGGACAAGTCGAAAGAACAGAACGAGCCCCCGCAGGGTGTGTGCCCGGGCCAGGGCTGCGCCGCGCCGGCCAGCGCCTCGTCCCCGTCCCGCTCCCCCTGCCCGTACCCGAGCAGCGCCGTGTTGGCTCGGCCTCTCTACTACACCTCGCCCTTCTACACCGGCTACACGAACTATGGCAGCTTCGGGCACCTCCACGGCCACAGCCACAGCCACAGCCACAGCCACGGCGGTGCCCCCACGCATTTCCCTTCCAATGGATTAAGTCAGACTGTCTTAAACCGAGTAGAGACTCTGGTCAAACTCAGTCCCGAGATTAAAACAAAGAGCCCGACACAAATAGATCATTGCAAGGACACGTCGCCTTTTGATTTGAAGAAAGGTATGTCGACTATTTAATATTGGTTCCTCCGTCGAATCTCTTGGACACTATTTATTATTTTCCGTGGCAAATTATTTTTCCTTCCCCACTCCCTCCCCTCCCCCCCCCCCCCATCATCAAGATGCTTTTTAAGTCGCACAAAAAGAACTTTTAGTTTTTTTTTCCCCCTCTCCCCCTCCTCCTCCTCCTCCTCCTCTCTGATGGGTTTCAATTCCGACTGATCAAACGTGTAACATGTCAAATGTCTTAACCAAGTCAACCCAACAACCCAACAACCCAACCCCAACCCATCCACGAGTTAATTTGTATCCAAACTAATTCTGTATATTTAATGTAGCAATTTTTGTATTTAAAAAAAAGGATAATACAATCTCTTTGGAAGTAAATTATGAAACGAGTCTCTTGTACAGACATTATTGTTGTTCTTTCGTAATATATATATAATATAAAGCTGTGTTTTCGGAGAAAAAAAAATGTTTCATAGTCGAGACGATGCAAGTTTAATTTATGATGGAAGCTTTCTTCCTTTTTTTCTTTTCCGGTGTGTGTGTGTGTGTGTCAAAAAAAAAGGTTTTAACAGGACAAAAATACAAAAAAAAATAGACTTACTAGTGAGAGAAACAAATAAATCAATCAATCCAAGTCGCCGCAGTTGAATATGTACATATTTAATTAAAACCCAGTTTTAACTTACACATCCAGGCAAGCATCGATTATCATTTTGCTTTTGTTTTAAGTATTGACAGACGTGTTTTTTTTGGAGGAGGGGAGAAAGAAAGAAACAAGACACACACACACACACACACACAAAGCGTGGCACCCTCGCTATGCAGCTGGTACTTTGGAAGAACTGGCTGGAATAATAAGTCTACAACTAAAGTGCCATCCTTTAACCTAATTACATCCAATCAGTGTCCTGTTTTATGCAAAGCAATCAGCTGGTGAACTTTGCTAATGAGTTCGATTTTATGCCAAATTTAGTCCTCATTACTGTCGCAAACCAGCACAGCAGTGCTGTACGTGAGGCGGTCAGAGCTGAATCCATATTGACACCCATACGAGATAACCTGGCCTGTGCTCTCTCCAGCCCTCCAAAGTTACTGTCGTTCACAATGTGAATTCACTCAATTACCCCGTGTTTGGCATCGGCTTTCCTTAGGCTTTTTGCTGCTCTTTATTTGTCCTACACCCCCACCCCCCCACCACCACCTCTCTTCTTCTCCCCCCAGAGTGTGTGTGATACTGCAAGTCTATTCAGTTAAACGAAACGTTGACTTGAACTTTTCCCAGATTCGCAGGTAGGTGTCACACTTGTTCTGAACAGAAACCGTCTCACTTTCAACTAAATGCCAAAAAAAGGCTCGTTTTCCCCCCTCTTCTGAATGAAGCACCACTATTTCTCTACATTAAAGCCTCCAATACTCTCTAAAATCAGGAGTTTCAAAATTAACAAGACACTTTTCAAATCCATATATATATACATATCTACACAGTGTATACTGGAAATAAAGATCATCTTATTTGTTAGGAATAATTTCATTACAATCCAAGCTCTGAAAAAAAAGGCACTTTATTTTGAAGTGTGCTAACCACGAAATCCAGAATTGATTGATTTTTTTTGGGGGGGTGAAATTCTGTCGTCAGTGTATCGAGTGTGCTGCAAGTAGGAAAAAAAATCGTTGAATTGTATTTTTGTAAGAACTATACCCAGAGCTTTTACTAATTTATGCGGCTGTTTTTTTTTGCAAAACAATGGACTCGGAAATGTTTGTAAATAAAAAAACTCAGCCTGATTTTTCCAAATGCGACTCGATGCTTCCTGTTTATGCTTCTGTTAGGTTTGATTCAGTCAGTTCATCTTAATTCTAAAAGATCAACAGATTGAGAAATGAAATATTAATGACAGATGTCTCTGATTATTTTCGCTGCAGAAAAAAAAAGGGGAGGGTGGGGGGAAACGAACTCATTTATGGTGGCAATTAAACTGAAAATGTCAGCTCTTTTCCCTTCAATTGAATTTAGTTAGCAAACCCATTAAATATTGTATAACGACGCTTCATCTCAATCCACAGGCATGATGTATACTGGTAGTTTGGTGCAAATGAACCGCTGGAAGTTTTTTTTTGCACTTGACACGTATATTTTTCCAAAGGTAAAATTGGCTTTGGTAAATTTTCATTTCAGGAGTATTTTAACAAGCAATCAGACGGGAATAAATTCATACGCTGGCTGTCAGACTAATTGAACAACGGCACGTTTCATAAATTAGTGGATTTTCCAAACAATTACATTGATCAAAGCTTCACATGGTTTTTTTATATATATATATATATCAGAGGAGAGCAGGTAGCGGTTTAAAAATTAAAGCACGGATACAGTTTCACAGTTTTAAAAGTTTTAAGGCAAGCATGGTTGTCTTGTCTGCTTCGCATCCGTATTTATCATACACGCGATTATTTTTGTTGCAGCCTATAATACATTCATATTTATCACACCCCTCGTTATACAAACATATGCCATAATCTGCCTGCACCCGCAATGCATAGAGCAGTTTATTATTGCAGTGCGAAACACAGTCATTTGTTAAAATCATTCATAAAACGACACCACCAAAGTTCTCCCAGAAAAGAAGATTGCGATTTGTCCTCAAACCCCTGTATTACACCCACCTAAAGTTGCACATTTATACCAAAGTTTTTTTTTCCTAAAAATGCAGAAGGGGATGACTTTATTTAGCTTCTCCCACCCCCTTCGAAATAGTTTATCTGATACAGCTGCCTAAGGATAATTTTGCCATTAATCTTATTTAATTTCGTCTTTTTTAGTCTTTCAGTAAATAGTCGTGAAGGGACTCGTGGGGGAATATAAATACTCATGTAACGCTCCTAAATGTGCATAGTCTCTCGAACATTCACACGAGAACTATTTTTATCTGGCGTTAAAGTGTTAGCTACACAGGCGTGATTGCAATATATCATCAGCCTACACCATAATTATTAGTTTCTTTTCGCCTCCCTCTCCGTTTGCCTTTCTTCTTTGTAATTTTCCCTTTTTTTATGATTACAAAATAACCAGCAGCTTAAAGTTACCATCACTTTCAAACAAGGAATTAGTAGCAAATTACTTTTTTTTTCATGGAAACTATGCAAATTAGTCGTGTGACTATGATGTCTATTTTAGGAATTAAATTAATCTTTACTTAATTTTAAAGGATTAGAGATTTACAGGCGGCATTAGTTATAGGATTATTTTTTATATTTTTCATAAAGAAGCGATCTTTTATGAGTTGCTGAAGTGCATTAACGCAGATTTAGAACTGCTATTTCTAATGTTATACACACAAGTACAGTCTATGGCAGTACTGTACTGGGCAGGTATCAGTTCTGGTTACTTTGTGGTTTGGATTAAAATGATATGGGTATTGGGGTCAGAACTCAGGGTGGAATTTTCATATAAGAATCACACGAGTCTTCCTACAGGGCAACGCAAAGAAGGTTGATAACTAAATACATATCAATAATACTCAATTGTATGTCCGTTTTCCCAACGCTTGTCAATACGTTTACTGTTCAAATCTCCTGCCCAATCACCCATATGTAAATGAAAAAGATTGGCATAATCTGATTTCATGTATTTTTGTTAGACATTAAATCGTTATTTGCAAGTAGCATTTGTGTTTATAACACGTATTGCCAGTCTATATCATATATAGAACTACCAAGGCATGCCTATACACAAATTGTTTAATTAAGCGTGTATTATCTGTTTAAGCAGATGTGTGTATGGGTACCTATATATAAGTGTGCACGCACGTTACGTCCCTATTTATGTTACAACCTTACAACTCTGGTCCTTTACTAACTAATGCTTTAATTTTGCCCATTGTGTAATTTAACTATTGTTTATGTCGGTACGTTTATAACCTTACATATTGTTTTAATTATTTTTTAATTATTATTTAATTATTTGAAAGCAATTACAAGTTTGCCCGCATTTTAGGCTACATATATATATATATTATATATTTATTATTATATATTTATATATATATTCACATTCCGAACTATTTTTCCTGTCTTTTAAACGAATTATTTTGCATCTTTACAGATAAGATTTTTTTTAAAAAAAGATGCTCCGATGACATTACTAATTCAACTCACTTTTAAACAAATACAAGAACATTTCCGGCACATGTATTTTCTGTGCTTTAAAGTCCAGTACTGCATTTGTAGGAAGCGTTGAGGTCCATTTAGCAAGGAGTTATTTCATTTGCACTGCCCTGAAAAACCTTTCCTGGCTTTACCCCAGATATTAGCGATTTTGTGTGCACATGTTCAAAGCATTTCTGTAAACGAAGCAGCGTTTGATGTGGGGGAAAACCTTTAATGTCATGGTCTCCCGAATATACCTCTGCAAAGACAGCATGGCGAGAGATCTGAAGTTTTGACAGGGCTTTTTTTCTCCTAACAATGTAGATACAGTCAATGTGTGTATAGAGAGACATTTACACAAACAATCTTGAGCGTCTACAAAAGGCTTTATATCCCAAGCATTGTTCGTTAACATGGTAGGTTAGTCAAATAAACAGTGTCGCGAACATTAAACTACAGATGTAAAGATAAGGAACCGACAGCATCGTTGCTATTAACGCGATCACTGTTTGTATTTGTGCACATGGAAACCTGTAACTGACACAAGACAGAAGTAAGACACTGGATGTCGCTCCTTCCCTGGAGAATATTGCATTTCAGGTAACCAATAACACCAGATTAACGGAGCCTTTGGAGAGAACAAAAAAAATGCATATTGTTCCAACTTGGAGAGGTAAACTGGGAATCAGTTAGTCCAGCAGTTTTCCAGTTGAAGACATGCCCTCACAATCCACACAAGGTAGAGGAGGTTTTGCTCCATCCACGCACCCTAGCCTGTCCTTAACTCCTTTTCACTGACTGGCAACAGAGGTGAAAAGTCCGTGTCCTCTTCCCAGCGGCGAATTCCTGACATTCCTATCTTTACACGGTGAAAAAACTCAGCGCAGTAACAACAAGCAGATAGCAACTGCTTTCAGTCCCAGCCAAACACAGGGGGAAAGGGAAA